GATGTTACTGCAAAAAAATTCCTGCGGCAGGACTTTTTAGAACGATGTTTTCTGGTGGGTTGGAAGATTTCGGTCAGTTTCTTAAGTTTTAGAAGACTGTTTGGTGGACTACGAAGTCTTACCTTGCTTTGCAAGCCTAATACTTGAGAAGGAGCGATTGTGATGTCGGCCGCTTCACGTTTTGCTGCTTGAATGAAGGTGAGCTCACTGTAAGGACCAAAAGTTCCTTAAATGTTCCAAGTGTGTTCTTTGGTGAGCATACTTCATACTTCTCCTTATTTCTCATTATTTCACTTCACTTATTAAAAGACGCCAAAGTAATACTACCAGTAACACGCAAGCTTCTGTAATGGCTTAACTGTTTTAAAACGTATTTGGGATTGCTGGCATGCATCTTGATCTCAACTTTCACTACGTCAACTTTACGGGACCGTTCTTTCATAATTGGTCAGTTGTCGGACGTAATCCAAGTGCCTGTCCTTACTGTTCATTGTTAGATTGGTTAAAGTAGACTTGTTATCACTTTCTAACTCCTATGTTTTCTTGATGTCTAAGGAATCCTACGTACGATTCTGTTTTGTTGCACATTTTTCGCGGGCTTAATTTTAATGATGATGGAGTTTACTCGCAACAAGGGCTGCTGGTTTCTCAAGGAGTAGAGGTAATCAGGTGCTTCTGTATTTCACTTGTTGCGGTGTTGTAAAGAATGATTTTGCCATAAATTTCTATTAAAAATGAAAGACCTGTTTTGTTGCCAACTCTTCTAGAAAATTCAGGTTTATTAGTCACCAACAGCGAGTTCATGCACTAGTTTCCGCATTACAACTGAAGAAACATTGCACTCAAACATTGGTGCAAATATGTCGTACAAAATGCGTTTACAGCTGTGCAGTTAAATGTTGACAAGGTTTTGAGTGCAATGAGGGTTCAGAACGCACACGTTTGTGATGTGGAGCAGATTTATTTCAAACAGGTACACAAATACACTGACCCACCCTAAATTGTCTACCGCCTAAAGATCTCGCAGCTTTTGCCGAAAGACCACACCTCTTACACAGATGCTGAGAAAATTATGTTTCCGGCGTAGGACGTTTGGTAACCGGTCTACAGCAATACGGGACTTGCTAATGAAATCACATGCACTGTTCGTTGCGTAGGTTCTGTAGTTCTTTTAAACCAACAGCTGCTCTGTACTCAGGAAGTATCGGTTGAATTGCATAGTTCAGTGAGCAGACTACAACGCATCTTGGCAGACGGTAGGACTTGGACCAGTCTTACGTTGGCTCGACATGCACACTTCTGGAGGTCTTCATAGCGTCTGAGCAATAAGGACAATACCATTTCCCTTTCGGTGGCTGGGTCAGCTTTACACAATCATAATGAAACCATTCATAGGGGCAACCATTATTGTCACATCCTACCATTGAACCAAAAGATTTCTAAAAAATTCCAACTCTGTGTGCTGAAAGTTTGTGGAGTGCTCTTGTTAGGTTTGAAAATCAAGTCTCATCAGTTTCAGTAAATGTCAAGATCCCGCTGTGCTTTGGAGCTGAGAGTCGCTCAAACACAAAAAGCCGAGGTATGTAGTACAAAAATGAAAGAGGACCCCGTCTACTTGTGGTACCCCCCTCACTGACGTGTCACACGCCACATTTCACAGAAAAAGCACGAAAAAAGCTCACTTGACGGCACCAGCAATACACACGCTGGTCACTGTCGGACTCCTCTTCATCAGATGCTTCTCCGTCATCCTGATGTGTTGGCGCCCTCCGCTCTTGTCTCTGCATGCTATCTTTTAACATCTCCTGAACCCTTGAGGTGAGTCTGAAATAACAGCAGATAAGGGAAATTAGAGGGACCCATATTTATGCTTCGGTAAAATGAGATTTGCGCTTGTACCGTCTAATTCATTGGCACAGAAGACAAATTAAAAACATAAACTCTTCCGCCCTCATTCAAAACTCTAGCACAGAACCAAGAACCTGGACGTACTCATCACCGTCCTACACTGCATTTCACATAGAGCTGGCACTACTCTTCAAGTACCAGGTGGTGAAGAGAAAACCACTCAGTTCTTAATATTTCTAAACGATATCTTGAAGCAAGATGAACACTACTTCTGAGAACGGTAAGAGAATTTAGACTTTCAATGACCAACGTACATAAGGAGAAATACATCTGCAGCCTATTACAAAACTTGCCTCTCACAGTAAAAAGGTTAGATATATTTTTTTATTAACGGAACAGCAGATACACACACAGCAGTTTTTATTAACATCAGGAATGGACAACCAATAGGTTTAAATCTTTTTTGCTCATGTTTTCAAATGAGATCCACCGTTAAAGCAGAAGTTTTCTTACTTTCTTGGTCGCCCGTGGCGACTTTCTTGACCCGCAAAACTTAAGACTGAGGGATTTGGTATAACTGCTGCAACTGGATCATTAGAAGAGTCGGAAGTACCGGATGCGGTACTCTGCAAATTACTTTGAGTAAACCATAATGTTTGAATCTGCTGTCGGAAATTAAATCACAGCCAACATTATAAATAATAAAAGATCATTTTTGACAACCTGAACAGATAATTTTGGAGCTGGGACTGGCGAACTGACGGTTGCAGTCACTAATGCTGTAAAAAATGCAATAAGGCAGTTCCACAACAACGGTATAAAACGTCATTTTCTATAAAGAAAAAAACCTGTAGGGGTTACTGGAGGAGCGGAGAGGGTGGGAGAGCTCGTAAAATTGCTGATTGCAATGAGCTTATTTGTTGCTGACGATCTCTTCTGCAATCGGATCTAATGAGAAGTTGCATAATAAGAACCATCTACTTTCTTAAAGTTTTTAAAAGTATGCCATTTCTTAACAAATTCGCACTGCTTTGAGAATTTTAAAAGATGAGTTTAAAGAATCGGCGTCTTTACCCCATAAAGTCCTCTATTTCTAAATGCAAAAAAAAAAGTCCACTTGTTCTTCTGAAAAAGAGTAGAGATAAAATCAAAAAACATTCATGCCAACTTCCAATGGAGATAGCTCAAAACTATTTCAATTCCTAACAACATGATGAAGTCACTAAGCAAAGGAAGTGAAGTTAAAAATCTTTGCTGAACAACACCGCATTTGAGCCTTTCAGTCTCGAACAAAGAAGGAGCCAGTTAAAAGCAAATAACCTGAAACAAAGAAAACCACTCACTACAGTGACTTTTAATGGAGGCAGTTCTGGGTTCCGATCACTAGAACCAACGGAAGGTCGAGCAGCCCGATTTGCAGAAGAGGTTGAAGGGTTCTCTGTGTCATTAAATGACGTGCTAGACCGACTTGAGTGAGAATTTGATATGTGTTCCGTGTGACTAAACTCAGTTGCACTGATGGAAGTGTTAACTGAAAGATCTTTCCACTCTATTAAAAATTTCGTTGAAAAGTTATGATGTATCATTTAAAGTTACCTTTCTGGGAACTCCTCACTGTTGTGAGCGGAGATTCCGTTTTAGTCAGTGAACTAGTGGAAGGTACTGGGGAGTTAGAGTTTTGGCTGACGTCATGTGAGCGTTTTCGGCCTGAAGTGTGAAACCATAAACGTGACCGATTTAAGATTAAAGCTGGTTCTGACCAATTGAATTAAGTTATCATGCCAAAAACAATTCTAGAATGCTTACGGTCTTTTCGCTGTGCAATCAGTGCCCGTTCGGCATCGCAAAACCCTAAAATTTAAACCACTTCAATAGCAGTAATAAAGGTACAAGCATACTTAAAACTCAGAATTAAGAAGTACATTTGAATGCTGAAATTATGCTCCAGTTTTAAATCATACCCTACTCTATTAGCAAGCAAAAAAAAAAGTTACTTTTTTCTATCACTTCTGTGATGCCCGGATTATCAGCTTCCAGTTCATATTTGAAATGGAAAATTTCTTTATGCAGTTTTTGGTTGTATTTTTCCATTTGTCCATAAATTGATTCTGCAATTGCTACTTTCTCCTCCTGTTGTTCCTGCACTCGTTTGTATTCCTAAAAAAAAAACAAAACAAAAAAAAAAAAAAAAAAAAAAAA